CTATGTTTACATCTGGGACAGCTCAGTGAGACTAAGAAGAGGGAAAACGTGCTGCTCTTGTGGAGACTAGTTCTAGCGTAAGGGGCACACGGCACTTGACCCTCGGGCAATGCGGGGATTGGGGCAGTGACCCCCTCGTGCGGTCAGAAATCCAAGTACAGCTTTTGACTCCTCAAAACATAAGAACTAATAGCCGCCTGGTGACTGGAAGCCTTACTGATAACGTGAACTGTCGTTTCACACATTTGCATGTTACATGTACTATATACTGTGTTCTTACAATGAATGAAGGTAGAGAAAATAGTAGACATCGTAAGGAAGAGAAAGTGCGTGGCCTCTACTTACTGTAGAAAAGTCCGCATACAGGTGCACACGCCCCGTGCAAACCAGTGTCATTCAGAGGTGAACTGTGTATTGTGTAAGTGCAGTAATAAGGGAAGTGTTTACATGGAAGTTGGCAGGAGCTTGGAGGAAGGTGACCCAGAGCACCGTGCATATGGGGACGATGGCTACTTCACTACAGCGATCAGAGGGAGCCTCACCAGGGGCCTTTGAGAGGTTTGAAGGTCATGAAGGAACTGCGTAAGAGGAGGTCCGGGGGGGAGCTCTTTCCGGGCAGGGAACCCCCAGTGCACACGCACTAGGGCAGGAGCGCATCCTGTGTTCACGGAAGGGAGAGGAGGCCACTGGGGCTGGAGCAGAGAGCAGGTGATATGAGGTCAGATGTCAACCTCGTCACAGAGGCCTGAGGTTATTAGAAGGGTTTTGAGTTTTCTCTGAGTGAGGCGTGGACTTACAGGAATGAACAGATCGATGGGATTGATTTTCTTGAGCAGCATCTATTTGCCGCTTTGCAGAATCGGGAGGTGCAGGGCGAGCGACCAGTAGGGAACCTGTAGATAAACCAGTGCTGTGTCCCAGGAGGGGGATGTGGGCTGTACGTATGGGGTGTGAGGAGGGAAGATACTGGGAAGTGATTGAATGCTGGAGATATTCACAGATGGACTTTGCAGCATTTCCTAATGGATTCATTCTGTGTGGTGAGAAGGAGGAATCAAGGAGGGCATCCAGTGTTTCAGATTGCAGGTCGAAATGTAGGATGGTTTCTTGGAAACGGGGAAGACTCTGGAAGTAGGATATTTGGGGAAGCAGCATCACATGCATCCAGTTTAGGAATGTGGAATCTGGGATGTCTATTAGAAACCTAAGTGAAGTTGGCAGTTGGATCCAGAGTGCAGGGTAGGAGAAATACCTAGGTCGGAGAGATAGATTTGTGGGGTGATGCCACTAAATGATGTTTAAAGCTTCAGCAGAGATGAGGTCACCAAGGAGGTGAGGGCCATAGAAGAGAAAGGAACAGGACCAAACCCTGCACTCCTCAGGGCTAAGCAAGCTGATCAGAGTGCACACCCAGAGTGGACTGCACAGTCTGGTTCTGCGTCTAGAAGGCGCATAGACCAGGGAGGCCCACCCTTCAGTGTGCACAGGAACTGACAGTCTGGAGTAGAGCATGAGATTCTGGGTTGATAACAAGGTTGGTGCTGCTGCTGCTGGTCTTCAGATCCCACACTGAGTAGCAAGCACATGAAGCAGGATCCCCACATGGCCGTGCATCAGCCTCTCCTGTAGGGTTTATTAAATAAGTGATACCTGTGCCCATGCCCAACATTCTAAAATGTTAGGTCTGGGGAGAGGCCTTAGTATTTTGTAACGAATCCACCAGCAATCCTGGGGCTCCCCCAGATATGGAAGCACTGAAGTCATTGATGAGAGCCCTCATCATGGGAAGGGATTTTACAGACACATTTAAATGGTTTGGGGGGGGCACCTGAGTGACATCTGACACTTGGTTTCAGCTCAGGTTACGAGAACTAGCCCACGTCAGGCTCTGCAACCAGTGAACAGTCTGCTTGAAATGTTCTCCCTCTCCCTCTACCCCTCTCCTCTTTGTCATGCACACACTTTCTCTCTCTCTCTCTCAAATAAATAAATAAATAAAATCTTTAAATTTTTTTTGTAGGAAAAAAATGTAAGACATACTGAGAGAAACATATTTTCTCTCTTGTGGGGCACAGCCAGGTGGCAGATTGAGTAAGTAGTTTTTAGGTCAATATTAAATCTCTGCGTTACTGAGAGTGTGGATCTGAAATGTCTGCACCACACAAAAGGAAATGGTAACTATGTGACATGATGCACATGTTAGCCATGCTATGGTTGTAATCGTTATCAGTACAGGAAAGTATCAGTCAGCTGGTTGTACCCCTAAACTCACGCAATGGTGAATGTCAGTCATATCTCTACAAAACTGGTAAAAATGTCTGAAATCTTGCTCTTGGAATGTCTTCCCTCCGTGGGTTTCTGACTCCTTGGGATACGTACGTACAGTTACAGAGAGACTTAGGGACGAGAGAGAGTGTCTGAGGCCCTGTTTTATTTCAAAGAAAGCCACTGAGCAGGCTTGAGGCTGTACAGCTGGGAGCAGAATCCATACTGGACCCTCGATGGAGGCCCCCATACAGCCAGCACCTTGCTACTGGGCGTTGATGGCACTGTCCACACGACTGAGTCCCCTGAGGGAGGACACTGGGCCCTGAGGCTGGGACTGCTATCGCTGCTGCCCTGACCACTGCATGACCCCGCTGTGACGCTGCTTGGACCCCCTGTGCCCAATGCATGGACGCTGTCCCAGCGTGTCTGTCACGTGCCCTGAGTCGCAGTCTGGCAGGGGGTCACGTGACTGTTGACGCTTCATGTCACGTCCAACTGCAAGACTGGTAAAGTGGGTTCTCCTCTCTATGGATGGAGGTGGTCTCTGTCCCCAACAAGATTCTTTAAGTGTGGAATTCCTTCATGTGGGAAGAGAGGTACGAGTTCTGGGAACGGACGTTGGGGACCAGGAATGGAAAAGAATGACAGATTTCAGCATTTGGAGCTGTGATCTGAGACTAGAGCTTGATCTGGACACTGTAGGCTCTCAAGTCTCCTCGGATGAAGGAATAACTCCTAAATGGCCTCTTTCAACTTATTCCCTTGATGGTTGTTGTGGGCCCAGCGTTTACTCCAGTTCCTACTCACACATAAGTGGACTAGCATTGTTGGGTGATGAAGTGATTGCTCAACATGTCTTCTCCCGGCCTTGGTCTCTTCCTGGGATTAAAAACCCGGATCTGTATCACTTCAGATGATCCGCACATATACACTGATATTTCATGTTTCTTCCTACATGCACATATTTCTGGGGAGTGTGTGCATAATTTTACTTCGTTTTATGTGGCCTCCACAAAAGTATGAAAACCCATTCCAGTGTAGACACTATTCTACTTCATCTCTGGTCCACAAACAGCTAATTATCACAGTGTTTTAGCAGATCCAGTGACATGATATACATGCTCAGCTTTGTCTGGGCAATGACCAGTCACAGACAGAAGGTAGAGCTTTCTTGCTTACCCTGACTTTCAATTTCTCTATGTATTTTTTTATGGGCTCAGTAATAGTTCACAGACCAGTGCTGGCTCACGGAAGACACAAATCATCATTGATTTACGTGACTTATACTCTAGCACCTATTCTGGTGCCTAATAAATAGCAGAAATGAGAAAGAGTTAATGGGGTCTCCAGTTTCAATAACATACTAGACTAGGGTTTAAGGCTGCCTCTTCCCCTAAAAACAACTAAAAATGATAGAAAAAACAGAAAATCATCCAAAAGTGCAGCAGAACAATCAAGAGAATAATCATTTAAGTCAAAATTTAAATATGGGCAGTAAGCCAGAGAGATAGTTGTTCTGATCCTTAGCGCATTTTTCAAATCTAGAAAATCTTAGCCTGGCTTCTCAGGCTCATAAGCTTCATAGAGAGGAAATAATGCCCAGAGCTTCTTCATGTGAGGAGCAGGAGAAACATCCCCTCTCTGAAAATCTGGAACCTAAGATTCATATCCTCAGAACAGGGTGACACAAAGCAAATCTGTTCTATTTTCAAGTAAAAGAATATTCTAATGAAATTTGCCTTTTTGTCGGGAAAAGTGAGCAAACAACTATTTCAAAAAATTTGGAATCACAGACTAACCCATCTGTGATTTTTTTGTCCAAATTTGCTTTGTCATTGTCCATTGAGTCAAAATAACCTCATGTCATTAGTTTAGTTAAAAATTGTTCTGGATTGGTGATGACCCAACAACTGTAAAAAAGAAACAAATTTCTCAAAGGAAATCTCTATTTAACCTACGTGTCAAAAAATTTACACAAATAATTGCACAAAGAAAAAGAGCAACTAGTAGAAGGAAATGTAAATTTCAAATGAAAAAAGACGGATTGACTAACTTTAGAAAGAATCAGTAGTAAAATGCTCATGAAACTTGAATATTGAAATCGTAAGACATAAGATATAACATGACTAGGCTATGATATAAATATATAAATATACGTTATTTGAATATATATTATGGATATGACATGAAGAAAAGAATCACAATATTGAAAATGTAGTAAAATGGCGAAAACAAAAGCACCTCTCAAAAATAACTATAAAATATAGTGATTAATAAATAATGAAAATACTATAGTCTCTGAATAAGAAGTTATCAGTAAAGAGGAATGAGTGGAGGCAGGAAAAACAAAAAGCAAAAAGTAAAATGGCATCCTCAATCCAACAGTGTCAATATTAACATTAAATATCAATGGCTTAATTAAGTCCATCAAAGTGCAAATTGTTAGACGGAACACAAAACAAGATCCAATTATGCCATCTACAGTAGACTCACTTGAGACTCAATTACAAATAGATTAAAATCAAAGGGATGGAAAAAGGCATCTCAGGCAAACAACCATAAGAAAGCTGGAGTGGATACACTCATCAGCCAAAAGGGACTTTAAAACTGCTAGTGAAGATAGACAGGGTCGGGTAGGCAGAGTTAAGATGTCGGAGTAGTAGGGAGACTCTGACCTTGACTTGTCCTTCGAATACAGCTAGATCAACATTCAACTATTTTGAACAACGAGGAAGATGATCTAGGATTAAGGAAACAATCTGCACAGGTGGAGTGAAAGAATTTGGCAGATCCAGGTTCAGAGCTCTGAACTGGGGGAGAGGAAAGTGGTGTGGCCATGGACGGGAGGGAACCCGGTTTGCAGAGCAAAGTCGGGAAGAGGGAGAAAGTGGCCAGCAGGTAGGGACCTCACAGTAACCAGTGAAGAGATCCCCTGGGTCACTCAGGGAGACATTACTCCCCTTCCCAGAGGGCATTTGGAAGAGGGTATTTAGCCTCTCCAAGGACAAAAGGCCAGCCGGGGGCCATTGTGGGGATCTCAGCAACAGGGTTAGAGGTGCCCAGGAGAGGGCAGAAAACCTGTTCACTTTTCGCTGCGAGCTACAGTGGATTCAAGCCTCTGTGGGGGAGCTGAGGGGCCACTTTTCTGGGGCTGAACTGAGCAGAGCGCAGAGACTGGAGCAGATCACAGATAACCAGGCCAACACTTCTCGCTGTCTGTCACAATAGATTCAAGCCTCTGCAACTGCTTTTCTGGGAAAGAAGGTAGTAGGGGACTGAGTCCAGTG